CATTTTTTTTGTGGAGTTTGAAGTTTGATAATCAATAATTGGTGTCTTTATACTTTTCTGGAAGAGCCTATTGTGTGTTTCACTTTGGATAATGGATCCATACGATTTTGCTTGAGCAATGTATTGTTAAAACTTAGACTTTTTGTGTATTTCATGTCCACAGTGTATTTTGATTTGACATTAATTTGAGTCTTGCCTATTTAGTTGTTGTCCCTTTATGGATTAGCATACTTATTATTGGATATTGGACCATCTTCTGGGATACCAATTATTTTGTGGAGTGTGATCCCTTTCTCATCTGGGATTTTTTGTACTTTTTATATATCTCTTGTCATTATTACTTCTCTTCTATTGATTTTGTTTGAGGTATTGGTGGATGAAGAAGGTGCTTTCTGGTTAGCTTGTCGTATTAATTGTAATTTACGATCTGCCTGCTCACATCTGCCTTTAGCAACTGACAACGAGATTTTCTCTTAAAGTTGAAGTTTGATTTCAGTGGAATTGTTTTACCATAACGCTATCCATTTTGTGCACGAGGGTTTAACTGCTGAGAAAATTGCAAGCCGGTAGCTCGAGGAGCCTGGACACGTGCATTTTCTTATTTCTTACATTTGATAGTTCTTTTTTTTTTTTTTTTTTTTTTTTTTTTTTTTTTTTTTTTTTTTTTTGCTTTTGGTGGAAGTAGTTTGAATAATGTCACATAGTGAAGAGAAATGTCTGTGATTCGAAGTCTCTAATTTCGTTGTTCAATATATGTATACAAACTGATTTTTTTGTTTTACTTCTGATCGTATTATGAATTATGAACTCGATTTACTTAATAACTCTGACAAAATATACAGAGCTTAAATTGCGAACAAAATCGAAAAATAACGGAAATTCATTGGCGAACAACAAAAAAAAAAAGCGACGGCAGCCGCTTTATCTCAAATCGTCGACTCTTTTTTATTCAAAAATTGCCAACAAAAAAACAGATGGTAAAATCGTCGCAGATTTTTAAAAATTGCACATGATTTTCGGGACAAGTGATGAACAGCGAAACGGAGAATACGAGGAGAACGACGCACTTTGACAAAGCAGAACACGTTAGGGCATTTTCTCTTTTCAGACAAGTACAAATATATGTATACATATTGGGCCAAAATGAACCGCCAAAACAAATTGGGCCACTTTTTATCAGAACCTAATAAAACATAGGGTATAAAAATTGGCAATTTTATGGTACACCTACAAAATAAACTGAAGAATGAAAATGGTTTAGAGTATAAATTATTTTGAGAAAGTTTGACTGTTACATACAAATGAGTCAAAAGAGTGGTAAAAAAATTGTTGAAAAAAAAAATATTTGTGAAAAACATTTTGAACAAACAAAAAAATATGTGGCATTTTGGTTGCTCCATAAAATGTGGGCAAGTGTGTTTTAAAATTTTTACAAATATTAGATATAATTATAGACTGGATTAAGGCCGACTGTGCGTGCACAGTCGGGTCCAATCTAGTTATTAACTATATATTTATATATTTGACAAAAAATTACTAAAAACACAAATATTAAGTCAATCGTGGAAACGTCAACATGTGGACCTAGAAAATGAGTAAACACAGAAGATTTGAATATAGTATATAAATATTATACTTGTTAAAAAAGTTATTTCATATTTACTACATTATATTATTTATATTATCTTTTTTATTAGAAATAAAATACGATAAAAATAAATAAAAAAATGGAAAAAAAATCCATAGGTTTATTTATAAAAAAAGCTTTTTCCTTAGAATAGATATATGTATATATATATATATATATATATATATATATATATATATATATATATATATATATGTTGAGAATATAATCTTATGAAAATATTATTAATATATATAGCACAATATAATTAAATCAAAACATACTCCTCTATAGTAATAAAATCCAAATGTGCAACCGCGATGAATTTCAGAAGATCCTTCTCATGCATGTGCACTAGGAAAATTATGAACACAAGATCTACCCGCGATACATTTACTATGTATCATTCGTTAACAAAAAAATAAAAATAAAAATAATAATAAATAAAAAAAATAAATAAAAAAAAATACGCCATAATAACTAAAATAAAAAAGAAACAAGATTATTTTATTTCCATTTTTCTTCTCCAATTTTCTTTTTCTAAGGGCACCGTATCAGAACCCAACATTCTTAATTATTGCAATCTCTAAAGCATTGCCATTAATAATACCGAGGGTTAATGTGATTTTCACCTTTTAATTTAATATATATATATTAAAGCTGAGCATAAGCCATAAGCTAATTACATCAGGTCAGTTTTATGTTCTAAGTTTGGTTCAATTTGTATTTTTTTTAATTTTTTTTTTGAACTAAAATTTATCAGCTTTTTCAAAATATGAATGCTTAAAGTCGTATTATATCAGTCTTTCGTTAGCAAAATAATTGAGAAACTATATTGCATTTTCTGCAGATTTTTCATGCATGCTTAAGCTAAACAAAATTAATTAATGTTGATTGTATTATACGTAAATTTCTAATTACTAAATGTGCAGACGACGATAGCATGGGAAAATCACGGCCGTTGATCGTCTGGTGGCTTGGTGCGGTGGCGCAGCTTCTTATTCAGCTTACACACTCTCAGAATTTCGAAGGGTAAGTTTTATTTAGAAAAATCACGTTTTGATTGAGAACAAAAAAAAAAAAAAAAAATATGGACATGATTATTACAACTTTGTACAAGAATTTGTCCAATATACTACTATAACAAAGTATTAGAGCTAGGACATTTAATGAATTAATAAATAATAATTTGTCTGAACTTAACACTGTCCTACCCGGCTCGATTCCGGATTAGTCGGTTCCCATGTGGATCCGAAAACCGGAAGGTCCCTGTAACAAAAAAAAAAAGTCGTTGAAATTAATGTCACATCCCGAATCGTCCCAGACCGCGCCCACTCCTATTAATGTGACTGTATGACAAACCAGTATTAAAACTCAAATACAGTAGTATTTATTAATTTATTAAATGTGCTCAATTAATTTAATTTCCCTGATTTTCAGACAAACGTCGCCGCACGAAAGCAGCCACGTGGATGGAGATGTTTCGCCACCTTCTGAATTGCTTTTGTTCATACAAAAACGAAGTGTAAATTAATTTACTTTACCCCATTTTTTTTCCAATAAAAAATTTAACCGAATTTTTCAAGTTAATCAAAAAATTGCATTATTAAACGAATTATTAAATTGTTTAATCTAAAAAAAAAAAAATATCTGAAACTATTTATTTATGTATTTAAAACATTTTGTTCGTACGTCGCAGGTTATAATGAGCAATGGGATAGTCAACGTGACTTTGAACGTGCCAGGTGGCATGGTGACTAGTATAACGTACAAGGGCAGTGACAATCTGCTGGAACCCAAGAATGCTGAATATGATAGAGGGTCAATTAATTTTGCATAATTTAATTAGAGCAATTAATTACAAATTAATCCAATCATTAATTAAGATGTTATATAAATATCATTCACATTTATTAAATTTTTCAACTAATTTATTTTAAATTGTACGTAATTTTTTTCCACAGTTATTGGGATGTCGTGTGGAACATACCAGGGGTTGCTGGTACTATGTACAGGTAATTAATTTCATCGACCGTAATTTAATTTCAAGGCACAGTAAATAACTTTATCTAAGCCAATTTGATTATTAAAAATATATAAAATAAATAATTGTTTTGCAGAATGCCAGGAACAAGTTTTAAAGTCATAGCTCAAACCAAGGATCAAACTGAGCTCTCATTCAGCAGTATGTGGACTGGTGGTGCCTCAACACCTCCCTTAAACATCGATAAAAGGTTTGTAATGCTGAGAGAGTCCCCCGGATTTTACACGTATGCTGTGGTCGAACGTTTAAAAGAGTGGCCGGCTTTCGACATCCAAGAAGGCAGATTCGTGTTGAAGCTTAAGGATAACAAGTAAAAATCGCCTTCTTCTAATTCTTCGTTTTTCCTTTAATCATTTATGAATATAATGTAATACACTGATACGCATATATAGGTTTCACTACATGGCTATGTCTGACGAGAGGCAGAGGTTTATGCCGACGCCTAAGGATCGGGAGACAGGGCAAACACTTGACTACAAAGAAGCCGTTCTCCTAACCAATCCATCTAATGTCGAGTTCAAAGGAGAGGTAATGATTGTGTTTTGTAACTATAACTCGTTGTGATTATTGATTAATTTGGGGAGTGTTATGTAAATATTAAATAGGTTGATGACAAGTACTTGTACTCGTGCGACAACAAAGACAACAAGGTCCATGGTTGGGTAAGCAACGATTACGAACCGGTGGGCCTTTGGATGATCACGCCAAGCAATGAGTTCAAGACAGGCGGCCCGTTTAAACAAGATCTTACTTCTCATGTCGGCCCAGTTGTACTTTCCGTGAGTATATATTATTCGCATACATATATACGATCTTGGAGCTATTAGTTAATCAACCGTATACCAACTAAATTGGATATATTTTCTTGTGACAGATGTTTATTAGCACACATTATGCTGGGGAAGATATAGCTCTCAAGTTTGAGACCGGGGAATACTGGAAAAAGGTTCTTGGTCCGGTTTATGTCTATTTAAACTCGAATTTCTTGGCTAGAACCAATCCTAGTGTTCTTTGGAATGACGCGAAACAAAGGGTACTCTTACTAGTTTCTAGTTTTGATTAGTCCTGATTTATTTATGTTATTTGCATAAATAGAATATTTATTTTCGAGGTCATCATTCATTTGCTAGCTGTTTGTCTATATGATCAGATGGTGAAGGAGAAAGCAAGTTGGCCATATAATTTCCCAGGTTCAGGGGATTTTATCAAAGCCAACCAAAGGGGAGCAGTAAGCGGCCAATTACTTGTTCATGATTGGTAAATCTAACTTCTTCCCTGATGGAAAAACAAACGAATGAACAAAAGATAACAATGCTTGTCACGAATCAACCATTTACTCGATGAGACAACACGATCACTTCAGAGTGCAAGAAATTTTAAATTTTTAGTTAAAATTACACTTACTGTCATATTTATTGATAAACAAATAATAAAGAAAGCCTGACATTCTATTCCTTCTTAGGAAGATAACACGAACATGTGGTACCGCCACACCGACATCACAGACAACGAAAATTACCGATCACACGTGATCATAATGGCATACAACTGCATGATTGTCATCTTCTTTCTTTGTCAAGGTACAAGAGCAAGAATGCTGTGCCTGCAGCCTCAGCATATGTGGGACTGGCACCACCTGGACCCGCCGGGTCATGGCAATTAGAAAACAAGGTTACTAAAATCTCTCTCTCTCTCTCTCTCTCTCTCTCTCTCTCTCTCTCTCTCTCTCTCTCTCTCTCTCTCTCTCTCTCTAATATTAACCTGTTCGTCTCAGGGCTACCAATTTTGGACACAAACCGACAACTCTGGGAATTTCTTGATCAAGAATGTGATACCAGGAACCTACAGCCTGTTTGCTTATGTCCCAGGATACATTGGGGACTACAAACATAGTTCAGACATCTTGGTCGCCTCTGGATCCAATGTTGTTGCTACAAGTGTCGTTTTCGAAGCTCCACGAAAAGGCCCCACTTTATGGGAGATCGGTATTCCTGACCGGACGGCTGCTGAGTTTTTTATACCCAACCCCAGCTCACGAATCTTTGCCCACCATTACTCCAAACCCGTTGCCAAGTCAGTATTGTTTCAAAATTAGAAACACCATTAGTATTTTTCTCATATGAATATAAAATAATTATTTTTTGTTATGCAGGTTCAGACAATATGGATTGTGGGCACGGTACAATGACTTGTATCCCGTGGGCGACTTGGTGTACACCGTGGGAAAAAGTGATTATCATAAAGAATGGTTTTTCGAGCATGTCAATAGGTACGATTTTTGCATCTCTTAACCTCATTCGTTCTGCTAATGTTATTAGTTACAAAGGTTGATCAAGAGCGTGTGCGTGTATATTCTTTTTTCGGTCATCAGGAAATTAGTGGATAAACAGTTTGCAGCGACGACGTGGCAAATAGAGTTCGACCTGAAATATGTGATCGGCGCAGGAATTTACACGATTCAGTTGGCTCTTGCATCTGCCACTGAAGCTGAAGTGCAAGTACGCATGATCCTAAAATGCGCGTTTTTTACATATATAATAGTTTCGTAGCTATATATGATGAAAAATACATATTGAATCCTAATAGTAATGTAATGAACATTTGTTCTTGTTTTTCAACTTGTACATTGCAAGGTACTTGTTAACGACCCGAATTCGGCCCCACAATTCACGACTGGGTTGATAGGCAGGGACAACGCGATAGCAAGGCACGGTATTCATGGGTTGTACCGTTTATACAGCATCGGCATTTCAGGTGACCGGCTGGTGGCCGGGAAGAATACCATCTTTTTGAAGCAGGCAAGAAGCCAAGGGCCTTTCAGGGGAGTCATGTATGATTATATACGTTTTGAAGGACCTGCCTGAAAAACATTTCAGGGTACAACTTTTTTGACTTGTTAGATGCTGGAAATACTTTAGTAATGCAGATATATTTAGTATATACCCCTAGTATTTATACGTTGGAGGAGAAAAATATAATCTTGTCAAGTAATGGTTCAAAGGTCGACAATAATATATTTTTTTCTTATATTATAAACTGTATATTTATAATATAAGATCATATAATTTTATTTTATATATATTTTTTTAAATATGCCATTCTAATCTATACGAAATATATAATTGTTTAATAGTCAGAGGAGTTTGTAGTGTTTAACATTTAAAAGACTTGCGTTGAAATACCTGAGGAAGTAAAAATGAGGCACAATTTTTCATTGACGTGAGCATATACGATTTTCAAATCATAGTAATAAATCAATATATAACTCAAAATTAATGCCAAGAATTTAAATTTCGAATACCCATAATCTTAACTAGTGCATTCCCCGTGCGATGCACGTGATACATATAATAAATCAACTATTTCTATAGGACTTGTACGTCTAGACAAAAAAACAATAGGCTTGGATCATCCATATTTCACATCTTTTAATAAGTGGCGTTTATTTAAGCCAAAAAAATAATATATTAATTAATATTTAATTCCGCTAACACGTCATTCTAATATTTATTTGATTTTTGAATACATATTTATTCATTGATATAAGAAAAAATAAAAATTTTATTTATTCCCGTTCACCATATAATACTCAATTATTATTTTATTATAAAATTTATAGTCATATAATGTCATTATTATTATTTATAAAAGTTGTATAAGTAGTCTTCTTTATGTAATGAAATTCAAAATAAAATTTTGAGTATAAATGTTTACAAAATACACACTCATGTTTTTTAGAATTCAATTTTAAATAATTCTTTTTTTTAAAAAAAAAAATGATTTAGCAATTGCCAAAAAAATAAATCCCTTACATAATCAAGAAATTTTTTCTAATTTTCATCCTAAGGCTAGACATGGCCAAAATCCGGGCCGGGTCACGACCCGGCCCGGCCCGCCGGGTTGAAGGGTTGGGTATGGCGGACCCTGAACCGGCACGGCTTAGGTCTGTGCCGGGTCCATGACCCGACGAGCCGGGCCCGGCCCGGCCCGGGTCTTGACCCGTCCTAATAAAAAAAAGAAAAAAAAAAGAAAAATTCAAAAACTATACATTTTTGTTGTGTCGGCCCTGACCCGGCCCTGATCAGGCCCGGCCCGGCGGGTCGGGGTCGAAAAAATCCCGACCCGGGATTGGCCCTTATGAAATCCAAGCCGGGCCCGGACCCGTGGTCAACGGGTTTGACCGGGCCGGGTCCGTGCCGGGTCCGGGCCGGGTCGACGGGCCGATTGACCCGTGGTCATGTCTACCTAAGGCTTTATAGTTTATTTAACATACTATGCAATAGAAAATATTTTACAATAAGTTCATTTTTGAAACATAACAAAAAAAAGTGATAAAAACACTATCATAGTTGACAATAATATACAAATAAATAACATGTCGAAATTTTAAACAATAACTAATATAATTTTGTTATCTACCCATCAATAAAATCATTTAATGATGTGATCATTATCTTTTAAATGATAAATAATATTAATTTGTTCTAAAAAATATTAGTTTTATATAATTAAATAAAGGTTAAAAAATATTACTCGACAAATATTAATTATAATGAATATCAGTTAAATCATTGCATAAATTATTTAAGGAAAAAATCTTTAGATCATATCTGGATATTAAATAAATATGCAAGCATTTAATGCATATAGTAAAAAATTTTCAAATAAGGTTTGCATTAAATGTGTGTTGACTTTTCTTGCTACTATTTTTGGTAAATAAGTTGGCTTTTAATATATATATAGATATAGATATAGATAGATATATAAAGAGGAGGATGGATTGATAACTATAACTAAATGCAAAAATTCTCGCCCAAACAAAAATCATAATTTTGGAATGTTATTTTTAACCCAATATATATCCACTAATTAATGACTAATGACTACTAAAGTACACTTCGAACAATGAAAATTGTTCCTTTCAAATCTCAAAGTAAATAAATAAATTTAGGTGAATTTCTTTTACACCTAATGGGCACCATAAATTTTCTGCCTTAATATATATGCATTTTTTTACACACTGTCCCATAAAAAACTTTTTTTTCACTCTACGACTCACAAAATTATATGTGATATAATAATCGCATATCTAAAGGAACCGCATAATTAACAACTATGCAGGATTTTGTCATATATATATATATATATAGAGAGAGAGAGAGAGAGAGAGAGAGAGAGAATAATGCTACTTAGCCAACTTAGATGACAACTTGGGTTACAACTCAAGTGTAAATGCATTATCAAGAAATTAAAAAATAATACATTTACACTTGAGCTGTAACCCAAGTTGTAACCCAAGTGGGCTTTATAGCATTACTCACATATCCAAATCGGACGTATAGTTAATAATTATGCAAAAAACATTCGTATCTTCGTTAATCATATATCCAAACCCACCGCATAATTCCTAATATGCTTCGCATATATAATAATGGCATACCCAAACTAATAGTCACATATTTATCATTATGCAACATTTTTTCGCATATTTTTCGACTCGCACATCAACATACATTGCACAGTTAACAAGTATGCGAAACTCTTGCTCTCATTATTTAATCGCATATTTAAATACAATGCATAATTTACCATATGCAATAAATTTTCGCATATTAATTTATCTCATATCCAAATCAAACATCGTATATTTTAGGATTGTGCAAAATATTTTTGCATAATTTTCAACTTGCATATTGGAATCTATAACACCATATTGTTAAAGATTACGCATAACATGTTCATATATTCTAGAATCGCATAATTTATGACTATCAAAATCAAAATTATGCAAAAATAATTTCAGATATATAGTTATTGAATATTCAAATTGAGAAGTTAATTTAAAGATTTTTAAAAGTCTATTTTGTTATTCACGCCAAACATATCTTTTGCTGACTCAACCGGAGCTGCCGAAGGCGGGGCCTGATTAGGGATCACAATGGAACTCTCATAGCCGCCTTCCACACCCCTCTTCAGGCCTCCTTGAGCTATGACGTGGAGGTTCAGACTCTCCAGATCAGTCTTCAGATAACAACCTCTATCTTTTCTCACATTTGCATTGAACTGGATGTTGCCCTGTCGCCACCCTCTCGATCTTGGGCCACCAGGGCTCGTGGCAGATTCCAAACCCGCTCATGCGCATCAGATCCAGCCTTCAGTCGGTTTGCTGCCAGATCTCACACATCTTCCGCGAGGAGAATCGACCCGCTGACTTCTTGGACAACCCATTCCCCAAATGCTCATTTTCCACCCTGACAACGCCCCCTTCGCTTATGTACTTTAGTGCGGATGAACCAATTTGGCTACCACTCGTTCAGATTTTAATAGTTGTTTTGTGTTTGTTATACTTTGGCACACTTTGTGGTGTAGACTGTTCGTCTGAGCTCCTGTTAGCCAGGATTCAGACTTTTCATTTTGGTTGTTTTTTTTTTTTTCTTCTTTTATTTTTGTTTGGATATGTACAGACCTGTAATTTTTCGGGCAGTTAGGATTTTGATTATATACAGGTTAACAACTAGGCCTTAATCTCCCACCATTATGGGGGTGTTTCTTAAAAAAAAAGTAGTTGTTAAGCTGCTGGGTAATTAAAAGTCTTGGCTGGCTAAGGAGAAGACGAGAACAGTCACAACATAGCATATTTTCTGCAATAAATCTCCACAAGATTACTCCTCAATTACTATACTAGTGTTATACCACAAACACTTGAATCGCTGGACCGCTCCTCTGGAACGGGTTGCGTCTCCTTGATCGTCGGTACCTGCAAAGCACGCCCGGGGTGGTCCCGGTGCGAACACTCGACGCTCAAGTCAGTGATGGTCTAGAGAGAAAACGACAGAGTAACGAGATAACTCGTGTATGTGTGTTGTGTAAAAATGAATGAATCTGCTCCTTTTATAGGAGAAACTTGGAGAGTCCTCCCGAGACAAGAAGTCTTCTTGATGTTTATCTCTATTTTCTCTAGAGTCCTTATTGCTGTCAACCTCCTCGTAACTTGATCTCAACGCCAATATCAAGTTCCAGCCCCTTTGACGGCGCCCTCGGGCCGGGCTGCCTAAATGTCGAGCACTCTCTAATGCCGAGCACCCGGGGCCGCCGAGCACTCTTTAACGCCCAACACCCGGGGCTGCCGAGCAATCTCTAACGTCGAGTATTCAAGGGCGCTGGGCACGCGGAGGCACCAAACCCACCCAGCTACCCGACTGTCTTGATGCCTAGTCGGTCCCCTTCATATGACAGCGATGACCGGATCACAACCGGTTCTACACGAACCATTACTAACTACCACATCAACTAGCAATCTGTAAATTGCCATCTCTAAAAAATTGTATCTCTCTCTCTAAAATCTCAAACCTAACATAGATCCCCAATTTGTCAATCTGCCTCCTCTTTATCGGGGTACATCGCGCCGCCGCGCAGCCGCTAACGCCGGCCGGTGATCTCTAGACATGGCCAAAACTCGGGCTGGGTCACGGCCCGGCTATTCATGTGTGATTTTACACCATATTTGTATAGTATCTAGAGCTTATTTGTCGCATTATTGGTGTATAAATTGCATATTTGTGCTTTAATTCTCTATTTGTTGGAAAGGTATTACGCGTGCTTGTTTTGTAGATATTTTCACATATTTGTAGAGCTTGTGGCTATTGGAGGTGCACGTGGAGTACCTAGGACCCGATGAAGGATTGATGCACGGATGAGAAAAATGGAAGAAACGAGCAAAACGGACAAAAACGTGCATGTTGTGGTGTGACACGACCCGTGACACGGGCTCCCAGGTCGTGTCACGACCCATGTCACCTCAACAGAAAGAATTCGAGGCCCAGATACCTGACACGACCTGTGACACGACCCGTGACACGGGCGT